GATGTATTAACTAGTTAATCGGGCAATATTTTACGCGTAACTTACATTCCTATCTAAAATAACTTGATATAATAACATAAACAGAGTAAGCACTTATAGCCTAATGGTTAAGATCGGGCAGCTGAATAGAAGATTACGAGTTAAGTGTGATTTATCTTTTTATGAACCTCGTATGAAAATCTTATCTGATTCTTATAAGACACTTACGACTGTCGATGGGAAATCTTAAACAATCTAATATAAGAACCTGATAAGATTCTTATAAGAATTTTATAAGATACTGATAAGAGACTTATAGGTTTCTGGTAAGATTCTTATATAAGAATCGAACTCTAGGGATTGAGCTCTTATACTAATCCATCCCAGGTCAAGCAATCCTACTAGGATCCTACTGATAATTGGATGCCTATGAAATCCTTCCTATGAATTCCGTAGAATTCTTGATATAGGACGGTAGCAAAAACCCTATAGAATTCCTATAATAAAAATCTTATGCATTTCTTACAAAATTCTAGGGTAAGATCTTGCGTGAGATTCCTATTTTTTCGTTCTGTATATGTTTTCTTTTTCCTATACGAAAACACAATCACTGACGTGTTTTGCAGTAACTTTAATATAAATACAACTCTACTGTACTGTAGAAAATGGAAAATTCTTTTGATCTCAAATTTTCGCATCGAAAACTGTGAGTCATCGAAACTCACTACCGTTCGCCGACGTGTGAGTCAGTACTCACAAGTCTTGGGCTTATCCCAGCTCAGAATCATCTGATGCTGGCTAGCTGGGATCAGAGAATAATTAAACAAATAAAAACAATAAACCTATTGACATTGAAATTTTCTATTCTTGAGTGATGAGCTGTGATTTGCATGTGATGTTTGCATGTATTAGCGCATAAAGCGAGATTTATGGTTGAGAGTGAATGGATTTGGCATGAAAACACCCAAAAAAGGGTGAGGGGTAGCGGCACGCAGCACCAACTAGCGGAAACCAGATAAAATCCTACAGTAGGATCCTGTAGGCACTTGCAAGGTTCTACAAGGTCTGACTATAAGAATCTTACAGTAGGATCTTTTGGCTTTGAGGTTTTTCTACAAAATCCTAGACGATCTCGTAAGATCCTAAGGTAGAAGCTTATAAGAATCTTGTAGAATCCTACGGTAGGATTGTTTTACTTGCGATAGAAAGCGATGTAAATCAGGATTCTAGGTAATTTTGTTGAATAGGAAAACAAACGGAAAACAGATGTAATCTTCTTAGAAAGTTCGATCCCTTTTTATAATAAATATAAAGCGTATCATACCGTTCTATATACCATATCTTTTGGTACTGATTGTTGTTTGAACGGTTGCACAACGTAAATATTTGGGTCAACTTCACCATTTTCTCCTGGACTGGGCGGTACTGGGATGCACGAGGCATAAAATTTAGGTGTGGGAGTGGTATGAGGAGGAAAAGTTCCAGCTGAATGAATACTAGGAGCTCCAGCAGTCATTTTCTTTTATTAATTGTTATGTTTTATAGAGTAATGGCTTTTACTTCTCAGACAACCATTCAAAATCACGGTTGCTATGGAAACGTTTAGCTTAGCAATTTTTTGTGCATTTGATCAACTAGTATTATGTTTCTAATTCACTAAGAAATAAGTTCATTCAAAATATGAACCTTATCGCGGAGCAGTTACTAATATATTACTTTATAGAGGTCGCCAAATATCGCATTTCAGGTCCGATTTTGGATTAAGATGTTTTCGACATATGGACGTTGTCGGTCCCTGCTGAAAGTACTGATAACATGAGTACGACTTACTCACACACTGTGCATGAGTGCTCAATGAGTAAATTTTCGAAAGAAATACTCAGCAGAAGTTACATGAATACATACTTCATGATTAAAAAATTGTACGAGTACTCATCGCATTTTTTAGCAGAACACTACACTCAAGGTTGAGTATATTCACCAGAGGTGTCATTGTCTTTTTAACTTGCCTTGACGACAACTCTTTATCTTTTCCAACGGTTTATTAGTAATAAATCTAAAGCAAAGATCGACGTTTCACTAACTGCGAGACCCAGAACTGTATGATCCCATCATTTTTTTTATTCTTGCGCCAGAATTATTGAAAAATATTTTGGTCAAATTCTAACGAAATTTATTTAACTAAAAATCCTAAACAACGAAGAATACATTCTCAAGCACAGCAAAACAAAAAAAAGAGTACACTGTTACATAAAATAATCGGGTTCTTTTGGTTACACGTGTGTAACTACTTCTCTCACTGCATTTGTTAATGTTGCATGGATTCGACGATGAGCACGAGTTTTATGCAGTTTGCTGAGTAATAATTGAATCAGAAGAACATTGATGATTAGAAATGGACACGTATAAACGAGGATAATCGAAGTTAAATGAGAACGACGCAAACGAAACGAGCACGGATCAGATGACAACCACAAACGATATAATTCACTATGAGCTAGAAAGAGATTAAATGGATGTAAGATAAAAAGTTCTTAAGAAGGTGCTGCTCACAATTATTACGGATGATAAAAGGTCTATTTAACGGATCTATAAAGCTTTCATTTTTCAAAAACAATTCTGTTATGTCTAGTCAGTGGTTTAATCTACTACTCAATTTTTCTCTTACCATTAATGAATAAACCGACAAATGCAATACTGATAAGTAATTGTACAAAATAAGTTAATGATACATATTGTTTTTTTGATATTGTTGATAATCGTTGACGTTTCACACATTCGACTTCGATACGATCAAGTAAAACTGATAATATAAGTAAAATGGGAATACATATAAACCATAATTTAATAAAATCAACTTGTTCTGGATTACACGGTAGTCTGGATAAATCTTTCACTAAAATGGAAAGAAAAAATACGTAAATTAGATGACTATTATTAAATGAGAGATAATAGTAACATGCCTGAATCCAAAGTAATAAAACAGAACAAAATAGCATAAATCAATTTGAATACGAGTACGGAAAAATGTAGATCTATAAATTAGAAAAAGATGAACATTACAGATGAGCAATGAATAATACATAATATCAGAACGAAATATACGAGCACGAAGACTATTTATTGTATAAATTAAAAAGTTGTCTTCCTTTTCTTTCTGTTCGAATTTCATGAGTTTTACGAGTATTACCAGAATCAGAGATGGCAGTTTACTAGATAAAGTTATACTTCCGAGAGTATAGAATAGCTATTGAAAGAAAGGCAGACTTCTCTCAAAAAAATTCATCGAATGGTTAATTACACTCTTACAATCCTTTCTTAAGTCATCTAAAGAGAGTTAATTAAAAATTTAATTAAATCAAATACATACGCTTTTTTTCATCGCTAATGGGATGCTGAGCTTGTTGTAACATTTTTGAAGCGTTCACTCTCAGTTTTTTAATTTCTAAATGAGGCATAGGCATGCTCTACTATTTATATAATTATTTTATTGACAATTTTCTCAAACATCTAAGGCGATACATTTTCTCTTTGATCTCATTCCCACGATCGGTACAAAATTCAAAGCAACCGTATTTGTAGCGGTTTACAAATTATCGCTTTGATCTTGCCGAGTAACATATATTTTTAATTTTATAAACAGTTGACAAAAATCTTCTCATATTTTTGAGACTTTTAAGAAAACAGTTGGAGTGTACATCTCAGAGGCATAGCTTAGTTGATGTTATAAACTTACCATGTTTAGCTATGTTTAATTTTTCGAGAGACATGCGTAGTTGTGAAAAGGGCTCACAATTAAAATGAAAGTGTATTTTGTTCTTCACTGATTCAACTTCTGTTTCTATTTTTTTGTGCATATATTATATTGGATAAAGTGATTGAGATTGAACCTGTGAATTTGTCCATGAATTTCTTATTCTTGAAAATTGATTGCATAAAGATACTTTTTTTCTTTCTTTTGTTACTGATTTTTACTACTGGTTCAACGTGTCAAGTATTGACTTTACTCTATGGTCATCAAGTATGGATCAAGTGATTTCAAGATGAGTATTAACAACGTACACACCTATCTAAAAATTTTTTATATTGAAATATTATATGCTTTTATGTAGAAGAAAGTTCATACAACTTTATAAAATTTTTGAAAGAATAAAAATAAATTATGAGAAATGTTTTATCATATGTTTGAGTTTCTCCCTCCACCATAAAGACACTACAAAACAGGATGCCGCATTAGAATCGTAGATCTGCAAACGACTGAAAAAAGTCAAATCAAATACCTTGTGTAATACCAAACTTTAATAGAGCCAAATTAAATATGACAAATGAGGTAAGAGTTTAACTCTTTGAGTCCCAAATGATTTTTGCTGGATTGAATTGAAGCAGACCGTTATATGAACTTATTTTAGGCACAGAAACACACATGACACAAATATCTCACGCGCGTACGCATGTATTAATTGGCTGATTTTTCATTGCTTCTTTCTAAGAGATTACGTACTAATTCGTAGAGATTATATTGTGAAAAATAATTATAAAACATGTGTAGCATTTTTGCTACTATGGGACTCAAAGGGTTTTAACTAAAATTGCTTGAAAAATCAAACAAATGTGATTACAAGATATACTTAGAACAAAGTTAAATTTTCATTTAGACAGTATTTTCGCTAAACAAAGGGTCACAACGATCTTGTCAGTTCAAAGAAACATGGATATCATGCTAAAATCAATTTGCATGTCTCTACTTTTTCCTAAAACATCAAATCTCACTCTTATTAATCAATTTATAGGTAAATAAAACTAACACAAAAATTTAACAGTAATATTATACGCACAACAATAAAATAAGTGAATAACACACATTATATTTTGCGTAAGAATAACAACGTTTTGTTAACAATGTCCATCTTCTTCATTGGGTGTTGTATGAACAACTGATCCACGTTCAAACTCTGTGACAGTAGAAGAAACAATAGTACTCCATCATTTTGATCTACTGCCCTACCCTAGTGAAAGTACTCATACTGTGAGTACAACTTTACTCATAAGTCCATGAGTACTCTTACGAGTTCTACTAACAATTTTTGAGTACTCAGGAGTATTCCGAAAATATTCATACACCGTTTTATTTTGCAAAAATGAAACTATAGAAAGAACATAGAATTTGGTAAACAAACTCAGAATATTTATATTATTTTTTTCTCGCTGGTCTCTCTGTATATAGTCAGAGATGGACTCGTCTGTAAATAAACTTGTAGTGCAACTCTGACTGCCTAAGATCACTCCTTTATATGAAAATACCAGATGAACAATACTCATGAGTAAAGTTATATGAGTACTCAACAATACTCAAAGTCGTACCACGGTACTCATTACTCACTCATGAGTACTCATGTGGATACTTAATGAGTAAAACACTGTGTGAGTACTCATAAGTGAGTACTCGTGACATTTTTCAGCAGAGTGCGACTTTGAGTACTCAAGCTTTAATACATTCACTTGGGTAATGAAACTTCTTGTAAACAAGATCTTGATTTCATGAAGTTTTTCAGTAAGATCTCGATTCAAGATCTTGATAAGAAAATGTAAGAATTCAAGAAATGTGAAAAGGTTAAGATCTTGAACATCTTGTAATTTCTTGACTTCTTGCACCAAGATCTTGGAAATACTTAAATCATCGTTTTGTTTTACACTTTTGTGTAAATATAAGTGTGAATATTTTTGCACTTAGAACAACTTAGAATTTTTTCCTTCTTGAACACAGTTGTTTAAGGTAGAGCGTATGATTCTGTATGGTCGGACATCTTGATGGCTATGGCTGTCATAAATGAAACCAAAATGTAAACAAAATTTTTCACTTAAAACCTTGCACATCTTGATAGGATTCACTCAGGATCTTGAAATTTCTATTCCCAAGATCTTGGGTACACGAAGTTCCACCATGGTGAGTATATCTTTCGAAAGATTATTAAGCTCCTCAATGCTCAATGTATGCGCTCTAGATAAACCATTGTAAAAAAAAAGGTGTTTTAAGATACAATCAGGAATATCCTATGGTGTTTTTGTGCCTTACATCTCAACGTATCTTTTCTTTCTCAATACAACTTTGTATCTCAGTGAGTCATAAGCGAAGTCATTCGCCGTTTGGTTGTAGTTACCCTAATCTAAGTAAGCATATCACCGGAACAAAAAAAATAAAGTTGGTTTAGAGTTGTTGAAAAGTGATTTTTCGTATTCAGCCCACTCGATAACCCAGAAGATTTTCTATTTTTGACTCGGGGTACTTCCGAAAGTTTAAGAAAAATTTTGAAACAAAATGGCGCAAAAAGTTTTCCATGGAAAAATAATACTAATTTGAAAATTTTTCCTAAACTTTCGGAAGTACCCCGAGCCAAAAATAGAAAATCTTCTGGGTTATCGAGTGTGCTGAATACGAAAAACCACTTTTCAGCAACTCTAAACGAACTTTATTTTTTTTCGGGTGATATGAGAAATCAATTTCGATGCGAAAACTTAGAATTCTTCTCATGTCTATCTTCTCTGGACTATAACTAGGAAAAAAAACTCAATCTAAATGTCATATTATAACACATCAGTACTTCCAGGCTCAACCTATAGGTGCACTCTAAAAAAAAGTGCTCTTCAGTTTTCCAAAGAACTGAAAAAGATTAGTTTTTCAAAAATTGAAGAATAATTTTTGAGTTCTTGAGAGCTGAAGTACAGAATTTGAGTTCTCTATTTGGAACAATGAAGAACAAAATTCCCGCTGATTTTTCGGTTATTCGATAAACTGAAGAACACCTTTATTAGAGTATGGGAGCATCATTTTATACAGGCACTTACAAAATGTATCAGAGATATTTTAATATGCCTTTCAAAACGCGTCGTTAATGTGTCAAAGATTGTGTCTCAACATCTCAAAATGTATCTCACAAAATCAATCCAACACTGATCCATCGTGTCTCAACAAAATATCTCAATTGAGAAGTTTGAAATGCAAAGTTTATTCGACTGGAGTGCTACTGTATTATACGAGATCTAAAATTAACGAATTTTTTTCAGAGATATTCCAAACAAGTTCTTTTTATTAGTGTTTCTCGACCACAATCAAATCTTATCCGTGGGAATCTAAAATTAAATTTAACGTACGCATCTTAAAAGCTATAAAAGAGATGATTTTTTCAAAATCTCTATTGCCTATCTTCGTGTTGTAGAGAAAATATTAAAAATCGTACGAAATAAACTATAAAAAGAAATTCAAGGAAAACATAGGTGTGAGATGCCTTTCTACCCCAACTTTAACAGAAGTGAAGGTTGAAGCTCGCTTTCAATGTATAATCTTCTGTCGGGAAAGTCAGAATCTGCTTATTTGAAATACGAGCTAGAGGTCTGTTACGCGCGTGCTCATTGGCAGAATTTTTTCACATCTGTTATTCTTGTCTTCCAGTGTCAATGGAGACATAATAGGCAGTACATTAATCAGAAAGTTGTACGTTAATTCTTCACCAACCCTTGTATTTATTTCTTGTTCGGATACAATATAGTAAAGATCAAGAACGTCTGAATTTCGATTTTGCTGCTGAACTGCCGGATTAATCGATGTTTTTTCAACTAATGCTCGCCTAGAACTCATATATTGCGGAGATCGATAACTATCATTCGTAACGTTTAGATCCGTTTCTGGTCCTGGTAAATTCAGATTAGATCCAACATCCATAATCGACATAAATGAATTCGCTTGTCCTAAGATGAGACTAGCGAGTGCACCACCATTTGACGGTGACGGCAGTACTTGTTTTCGGTTTAGTTGATCAAGGAGAACATCGTTGCCCCTCAAGCTGCGATTTCCTCTGTTAGTAGCATAATCACCTTGAAGAATTCGTTGGAGCTCATTTGGAGCAATGGGCGTGTAAGGCAATACCAATCGACCGGTTTTATAAGTAGCTGTTGAAATTCGGCGATTTGTATGTTTTTTTCGATTATGATACAATAGTTCGATTTTGTTTATAATTAGACGACCTAATGCGAGACAAACGAGAATCGAAATAACGGGCATTACGCCGAATAGAATTGCTCGTATAGCGCGACTGAGACATTCAGGGGTACACAGTGCAGTTTGTTTTGGTGAAAGCGAAGTCGATAGAGAACTGTCGAGATATGAAGTTGAGGTCATCTAAGCTGATTTTTTTCGTATTTCAATGCCTACCACCAGACTTTTAACATTTCCAACGTTTCGACGTAATGCTATTTTTTTCTCTTCTACTTTGATTTTTGGTCGAGAAAAATAGGAAAAAAACGCACTGTTTGTCTCACACACACAAGGCCAATCAATCATTTTCCTTGCCTCCTACAAATTAACTTTTTCGTCTAAATAAATGTTGATATCACAGTGATAAACCGCACACAACAGTAGAGATAGTCATAGAAAACAGCAAGCATGAATTAGTCTACATTCTTCTCATATCTTGTTGTCATCAAATTTAGAAAACTCCCTGCATCGAGATAAATATATTTCATCGATATAATTCATTCTGAGCTATATGCGTCGTACGTTTCTGTATGCAGTAATTTTCAAAATATAGTGCCAAGTGCACAGGTTTTTTACCTGCTTTAAAGTTAACCGCAGTACTAAATGTTATCGAAACTGCTAACCAAATTGGCTCTTGATTATTTGTCAGAATAATAAAAAATTGTTTAATGTTATAAGCATGTGTAATACTGTGAGAGAGTACTAAAATATATATGTGAAGGACAGAACCAATCTGTCATTATTAATAAAGCATGATGCCATATTTGTCATATATATACAATCTTGGGGTTAACACAGAAAGCAGACCATAGGTGGAAGATTTTGATTTATCATAAATTCTCAGAAGACGAAGAATTAGATATTGTTACAACGTTGTACATACCACAAACGGCACCGCTTAGAAAAGAAAACGACGAACACGATCGATTGCTTCTCATGTTTATAATACCCCATAAGCCTGCAAAGGTTTCTACGATCGAAAACTAGATAAAAGTCACAATGGAACTAGCTAGCATAGACATAAATAAATAAACACATTTATACAGCTCAGTTGTTACTTCATGCGACAGTCATGTCGAAATGAGTTTCTCTTTTTCATGAGAAAATTTGGGGTTAAAACATATCGAACGTGGAATGAGCGTCGAAGTAAATTCTATACAAAAACTTCTACCGCTTTTAGAATTCATTGATCACGAGTCAGTTTCTTTCAGTTTTCCGTGAAGTATTTTAACCTTCCTCCTAGCTTTGTTACTGGTATCTGTGCATCGAATAGTGGCAGCTCTCGCACTGTTTTGTGGATGTTTTTCTGATTCTCTGTTTTGATTTTTGCTGATCAATGGTTGGCATTACAGTCGGTAGCGCCTGTATTCTTGATGGTGCTCTCTCCTTCTCTTCTGTTTCATTATCTCTTTCTTGCTCTGCTACATACCTGTTATTATCAGTATTGGTTTCGTGTGTTGTAACGGGTGCGAATGTTCTCTTTGTCGGAAAAGGACCACGTGGTGAAAATCCATAACTTTGTTGTTATGTATGTGTTATACCACTGGTTCGTAAATATGAATAGAATCCTCCTCCTTGTGCACGAGGATATCTGTTACCTTAACCGTCTCGACTACCTCTTCGACGAGATGTCAAATTAATTCTAGAACAGTGTACTCGTTTGTGGGCACGTGAAAGTTTCTAACGAAATTTGTCACCAAATAAATTTTTCGTCGCTTTTGTAAACATTGACAATCGAGCGAAAGTTTCTGTCGCCTTACTTATATTTCTAATGAATTTTGAAATGAAAGGCAGCCTTCATTGGTACAAAATTTTAGCATTAGCTTGGCCTAATCCGATTAACCCTTGTTCGATGACGATACTCAATTTTTTTGGATGAACCTTTTTGTTGTCTTTGATGGCATTTTACAATTTTGACCGTACGGCATATAGTGGAATCGTTGTATTCAACAAATGTTGTTGCAAACCTTTGTAAATTTTGTTATTTTCAACCGCATACGATTTTTTGCAGCATTTCGAAAATTGTACCATCGAGTATTAGTGCCTGAAGGTCGAGTGATTTTACTTTGTCAAAAATTTTGGCTTTTATTACATCGCGTTTGCGTAGAACAAGGAAATGTTTATCGATGATCGATTTCATATCGATGGTAAAGCCTTTTTTGTTTTGTCCTTTGTTTGATGAAGAATTTTTTTACCACCTTTCGTTAAGGGGAGGG